CAGATCCAGCACTCCCGCCGTCGACCACCACCTCCACGGCCCTTATCGCGAGTCGGCTGCTTCTCGTCGACGTCCTTCGTCGACCGCCTACTTCCGCGACCACCTCCACCCGGCTTCCCGCGCTGCCCTTGCTGCTGATTCAGCTTCGTCGGTGCAGCGTAGTTTGCCTGCGGAAGGAGCTCCGTGGGCTGTTCGGCCTCCTGCATCGCCTCATCTTGAAGGATGTAGCTGGTGATGGAGTTCTCGTTGAGTGACTCACGTGTGCCAAGCACCATCAACATCCTCTTCATGAGGTTGTAGCTGCGTGGTAGGCCCTTGACGACGTGAGTGATGTAAGACGCCGTCGAGTACTCGGCGCCCGCCATCCGCATCTCAGCCAGGATCCGTCGAGCACGGTTGCAGTAGTCTGTCGCTGACTCCTGCTCGCCCATCCGAATGTGTGTCATCTTCTCCTCCAGCTGTCCGATGTACAGGTCGTCCTTCACCTGGTACGTCGACAGGATGAAGCGCCATGCCTGGTGACCAGCATCGAGTCGCTCTCGACAGCTCCTGAGCGCTAGCTGCACCACCGGCGAGCAGCACCTCGAGATGACCATGAAGGTGAGTAGGTGAGCAGCACGAAACCCTCTGCCGTCGGCGAAGCCCTTCAGCCCGGCAACCTCCAGCTGAGGCTCTATCGACTCCCTCCAGGTGATGAGGTCCCGTCGACCTTGCAGCGGTGCGACGGTGATTCGGTCCGGCGAGAACTTGAAGTAGCCATACGCCGGCGCAATCCCGCCCGCCGTCATAAGCGTCGTCGCCGAGAGCCCTCCACCGCTTCGTAGAGGGGATCGATGTCGAACATCAACGTCGCCACGCGAGCTGCCTGCGGCCGCCGTCGACCGCTGCACCCGCGCCTGTATCCCGTCGACGCCACCGTCGACCTTGATCACCCCCCTTCTGCTTCGTGCCTTCGCTGCCGCTGACTTGTGCACCACCGTCGACCTCGTCGTCGACGCCACCTTCGTTCCGCACTGGTCGAGGAGATGCAGGACGGGAAGGGTGTTCCGTCGCCCACTGCGACCGGATGCCCAACTCGACGATCGCCCAAGGGATCGTCCCGTACTCGCCATCCGCGTGGCGTCTCCTCGCATCAGCCAAGCGTGCCTCCAAGGTGTCCGCTATGCCCGCGTCAACTACGGGGTCGACCATGGAGACTAACGCTGCTGCCGGCCTACGAACGACTTAGTAGGTGCAAAAGTCGGCTCCTATCTGAAGGTCGCGTGTTCGATCCACGCTCACCGCACCATGCGGAGATTTACACTATAACAATAGTGAGCTAGACTATGGGGGCTGGCACGAACTACTAGGGGTGATCGTAGCTTTGCTTAGTTTCTTAGTGCTTGCACATTCACGGGAGAAATTGGCAAGAGTTTCCACTAGCAAAGTTGGGATTACAAAATGATAAATCAAGCAATCACAAACAATGACTACATCAGGCACCTAGCAACCCTGCAGCTAGCCTGGTCGACCGCCAGCACAGCTTGGTCGACCGCCTGCCAGCGTTGCGTAGAGGAGCCGCGCCAGCACTGCAGAAGGGCGACCTGCCAACACTGCAGGTCGACGGCGTGCCAACGCTGCAGCAATGCGGCTGTCCAGCGTTGCCCTGTCGAAAACAGCAGTGCGCACGCTCGCAGGTGCGCGCAGACGATTGGCCCGACTTGCCTTGCTGTGCATCCGTCGACTGTTGTCTGCGCCTGACGAGCCACATCGACTTCGGGATACCAGCCCGAAGTCGCCTTCGCCATCGCGACCTCGACGACGTTCGCGTGCCTCCGCAGAACTCGTCGAGCAGGTTACCCGGTCGACCTGGACACCACCAGGTGCTTTGGTCGACCCACCAGTGCCTCCGGTCGACCACCAGGTGCCTCTGGTCGACCACAGCTCCCTTCAAGCTACCCCCTGGTCGACGGACCCCTTCCGTCGACCAGAACTATCAGCGGTTGTTGCCGAGCTCCCCTCGTCAACCGCTGCTCACTTGTCAGGTCGACGGCTGCTCCGTCGACCTCCCCGGTCGAACTGTCCCTCCTGGTCGACGGCCCATCCGTCGCCCAGACTAGTCCGTTGCAGCTGTCGAGCTCCCTGGTCGACAGCAACACCACAGCGGTCCCCTGCAGCTCGACGAAGCCTGTCGAGCAGCTCTCCCACTGTGAACGGTCGGCTGCTACGACCAAAGCGTCGGCGTTACCCAAGCGAGGGCGGGGCCAACACTCCACTCCCGTTAACACATGCTTACACCTGCTAGGTTGTGATCACTGTACTGTTTGCTCTGTTTTATATAACTCTGCATGTGAACTGGCCTTGTGGCCATTTGCTTGTGCTCGGACTGTGTGGTGACTTCGTGATCCACCCTGAGCTTGCTTTGCTTCCTTGTGACTGCTTGTACTCCCCCACTTTGCCTATGGGGGTGTGTTAGAATATTGTGCTGTGTAGGCTGTAGTGGGGTAGCCAATATGGGGTACAACCCTATTAGGGTTAGTACTTGTACCAAACTGCTTCATAGTTCATTCATTCTTCTGCAAGATTCTGACACGGAGACCCGTGGGATCCAAGTGAAACTACAAAATGAGAATGGATGCGATGTGGGATGGCAAAAGGCGTGGGACATGGCGGATCATCCGACGAGGGACGCACAACTTTAGGTGCCGCACACCTTCATGGTCCTGCATCGCATTCGGGTTTCCTTGTCGCCTATTTCCCGCATCGTCCCACGTCCGAATGAGATGGGGCGAATGCGTGGCGTGCGGTCGACACACGACCCTAAAACTGTGGGACCCCGAAGCATGTGGGATCGCGCAGATGATGCATACCAGACATTTCCTAGTCAGATTCAACCAACTAGTACGAACACCTTCAAATAGATTGGTTCCGTTGGAACCCGCAGCACCGAACTTGGGAAAACCATTCATCAGGTGATAGAATTTTTTTCTACTGCGTAGCTCATTTGTATTTTGAAGCATGCAGCATACATTTATTGGTACAGCCCAAATTTATTGCCATGGGTTGTCCGTCAGTGGGGGTTCGTTGCGTTCCCGTTATTGCAAATGTACAGGTTGGTTGGTGTTCGTCAACAGGGTCTGCTGCTGCCTTGATTCTCCTGACTCGCAGCGGTGACGAGGTCCTTGGGAGCTCGAAATGCCCTGCTGGCACGCCACGCCACAATCGAAACCCCCAACATTTTGAAACCTTGGCGCAGTTGGATGACTTCTTGCGAAGTAAGCGAAGCAATCTTCGCAACTTCGTCAGGGAAGTCTGCCTGTCGCAGGCAGCAGAAAGTCGTACAAGGAATTTTGGCAAAGAAATGTCCCCCATAAATTGTTTTTTCACCTACTAGTACTAATAGCGGTTTCTTTCAAAAGCTTTAGATTCCTCTCCTTCCTCGTGAGCTCATGACGTCTGGACGCCTGGTGACAGTGAATCCCTGGTTTAACAGTATACATATATTTTACGCCTCTATTGAAGTTTAAAGGTCTTGGACGCGGCGAACGCACCGCGTTTGACAGCCTCGCAAGCGAAAATATATGTATACTAGCGACGTGGGTTTCCTAAAAGCTTGCACACCACGATGGCAACGAACAGCGCGGGACGCATCATTCGGCTCGCCTCACTGAACTTCTTCACGTGTCTCGCCGTGGTTTCTCCTGTCCGCTGTGTCCCGTTTGCCTCTTCCCAAGGTTCGACCTTGTAGACAACTTGGCGTTTTGTTGCCTCCCCCTGCCCTCAATTTTCACTCTTCCAGTCTTTCAAACGAGCGTGCTTTCCCAGTTAATGATGTACTATGCAGTCTTGATAATGACGCTACGATTGTCAAGTCAGGACTCCAAACCCTAAAACTGGTTTTGAGCTCAACCGTTGCAGTAAGTACCGCGACAGTAGGTACTGCTACTAGTAACAGTTGCGTCTTATAACATTGCTCGCAAGAAAACAGCAAACCGGGTTGCATTCTTGTAGCGTGGACTTCCTGGTGGTGTGGGATGCTCTCGGCTGCCCATTGCTCCAGTTTCCGAGTCCGCTGTGTCCCTTTCTGCTACCTAACTTCGTCTTTTGTGCAAGACCATGCCGCTTTACCACTTATCAGTACGAATAAGTGCAGGATTATGAGCTCAGAAGTAGCACCAATCATGCCACAGTGGTGGTAATCATCGTCGAATGGCGCCATCACATGCATCCTTCAGATCCATGATTCTCATCCAACTCATGCTTGCCCCTTGATTGGCCAAACTTCAGAGTTTGGAGCTCCCTGCCGCACGTACACCCATAACCAGCACAACGATGTCCCCAACCTCTCTCTCCCATGTGGGACAAATTCCTTGTGCTTGCCCATCACACCTCCGTTCTGCTGATGTCTGGTACATGATCTGAGAGAGTGAGACGAGGCAAGTAATGATGCGCTAATTAATCATCTCCTTTTCCCTTCCGCAAACCGCAGGAGCACTAGTAGGCTGTTTCTCCCCCCTTCGTTTTTCTGTCTCCTGCCCCATTGGCCCCTCCACCCCCTCCCAGTGCAACTCCTGCAAGCTGGACTTGCGGCAGGCATAGGGGTGAAGATATGATTTATAAGTGGCGTGCTGCCATGGCAAGACATCACGGCTCTTTAGTAGTAGTTGTAGCTTGAACCCTTGTTGTGCCTAATGGAACTCAGGACTACTCATCCCCCACTGGAAATTACCCCCTCGTTTACCTCACCCCCCTGTTTAAACCTCGTATCACCAGTGGCAATATCGCTATCAGCCGATGAGTCAGTGGCCTTGGCATGCTCAAACTTCTATGGGCGTAATTCCCATCGCTCTACCAGCTTGAATGTGGGAGTGCCAGCTTCTTTGTTCAGGGCGAGAAGAGAGGGAGGAAGGGAAGGGTACTACACACACAGTTGAAAAGAACCAAGATTTCCTTCCTCCGTTCCCTGCCCCTTCTATCGTCCACCTGCCCTCTTGCTCCCCTCACCCCCACGCTGCCTCCAGTGCAAGTCCTGCTGGACCTTCAAAAATCATGGGGGCGGACCTTCTCTGGCTGGGAGGCTGGTGGAAACTGCAGCTTGGCCGAATTTGTGAAATGCGATGCTCGAGGCATGGTGACCGATCTGTGAGGGCACCACACTCTTGCTGGCCTTACATCCTTACACCAGCTAAAGCTGGTCTTGAATTGGGCGCCTTTGTGTTCACTCATCTTGCATGCTGTGTAGTCACAATCCCTTGGTGAATTTTAGTGAGTGAGCCCCTGCATTCACTGGATGCCTTTGCGTGCTTCTCTGTGAATCTATTGCACTGCCTTTCTGCTTGAACCACTGCCTCCACTGTCTTCTCTTTGTTGAAACCCTTCCTCTTCTTCTATACACCTAACCTACATCCGTATTGTTGCCCTCGAAGGTTGCTATCGTCTCCATGTTTGTAGGCACAGGTGGACAGCAAATGAGTTGCAGAAACGTCCATGTCACGAAATACCATACCCAAGAATTCACCATCTCACCATCCACCATTTCCGAAACACAAAATCTGAATGGCCCCTCCAACTGCACTCCCCATCAGCTTGCTGTTCAACGAAGGCTTAACCGGATCCATTCCAGAGTCCATCAGTGCCTTGGACAGGCTGAGCTATTTGTGAGTGGAGGCATGCACAGATGAGTGTAAGCACGTGGAGATGGGTATGTGCATAGAAGCCCACGAGGTTGGCGTGAGCAATAGCCAACGTGTGACCAACTCATTATGAGTCGGGGTTGACCATCATCTTACGATGGGCAGTCAGTGGCCGGCTTGTCATGCCATAGGAAATTTATGAGGCGATCAGATATGGATATCCATTGTCGAATCGAATCTCCAGATTCGGAATGGGTCGGGATGCGATATTTTGTACTGAAAAGATCAGTGTTGAGAGGGGGGCTTGTGGGTGTGTCAAGCATCCAGACGCTAGTGTTTTGACGCGAGCATAAATGATGCTTGACACGTCAAATCCTTCAAAGGCTTCAAACACACCCGAGGCAGTGACATGACAGGCCTCTTTAAGCAAGGCAGCTGTGATCCAGTGCAGAAATTGCTATACATACGAATGAAAATGTGACCGAGCAAAGAGAGTTTGAGTCGAGCACCAGTCGAACACACTGTGGAGTCGAAGCGAACATGCTGGTTCGAGTCGAATGGATTCTTGGAGACAGGTGTTCCAGTGTTTGACTACCATGGCTGAACACATCCATGTTTGACCTGAACACTTGCATGTTCAATTCGAACATATTTGTGTTCGATTTGTGCAACATTCATTGTAACCAAAACGATGTTCCTTGTGACGTTTCTGTTGGGACTATGGTTCAATTGGCCTAAACGAGCTCACACTTGTTTTTTCTTGGAATAAAAAATGCCTATTGAACTTACTGGGAAACTAAGAGGGAAAAGCGAAGGTTGCTAGGGTAGGTGGCGTGTTATGTAGAAGAGATTTTGAGCTGAAATTGAGCTCAGAAGTTTTGATCGTTGAATAGGAATTTCCAGCCATGTCATCCGAGTCGCGTGACATTCGAGTCGAACAAAGTAAGGAATATGTATAAATATGTACATATACAATAAATAAGCACATATATATACTACACTTGCTCCAATGGCTCGCTTCGAGTTTATCTTTTCCATCTTCTATACATCTTCTATCTACATAGTGGTTTTCTTTCTTGCTGTATTCAGCATACTCTTCCACACACAATTCCCCTTGCATTGCGTACCATCAGGTTTCTTTACAACAACACTTTTAGTGGGTCTATTCCATCCACCATCGGCAACATGATCAACCTCAAGATTCTGTGAACAATGGAATCTCATTGCCTTGATTCGGAACAACAATGAAGCATGAAGCAGATGCAGCAATGAAAGGCCTCTAGCTCAACCTCGCTGCAAGGTCCTGCAGCATTCTAGTGGAACAGATTCCTCGGTACAGGTTCAAGGCATGCAATTGATAAAAAATGGACATCATAATCTGGATGGACTGTATCAAGCACTGTGTAGAAACAGTTGTTTCAGCTCATCCTTGTTTCCGCCTGTGCATTACCACATCAACGTTCCTACCACTCTCTTTCTCTCCTGCTTTCATATATGTACTTGTTGTCATGTCTGTGAAAGAGTCCAAACAATGTCTGTTTTTATAAATTGTTGCCGATTGTCCATAGATGTGTGTTTGTTAGAATTTTTTCTTACAGATTGTCAAACCTTGTTCATGTTATGCTCATAATAGCGCACCAACTACAATACCTTGTCTCGTACCACAACCACGTTTCAGCACTTCATGCACTTTTGAATGAACATCACAATAGCTTACAATACCTTGTTTCCAATACCTTGGTGATATAATTCACCGCTCTCCTTCCTGTTTGTTCAGTAATTCTTGTTTTTGAATCACTGCCATAGCGCCCTTCTTACCGTTGCAATGATTTGTCTAATATCGACATATACAGGACCAATAAGGTGTCTATGGGTATCAAGAAGATAATTCACTTAGGATGTTGATTTGTTTTCTTTGTTCCAACCACAAGGCCCTCTTCCTGTTGTACCATCAGGTCTCTCCACAACAACACTTTGAGTGGGTCTATTCCGTCTGTTGTGCCAACACATTACAGTGGCACGGTCATCGCACTCCCATTCAGCCTACAAGCCTGCTCAGCTTCTGGAATTTTGTGGGGAGGCTCTTCAACATGTGTTCTTCGAACCCTTAAAGTTTCAGAGTTTTTGAAGCAGTTAACAAGGCATGACAACATTTTAAGTTTCAAGACTTATGGCATCCCGGAAGTGTGTGTTACTCTTTTTTGGTAACACCCGAGTTCGCCATTTCGGCTGCTGACTCGTCTACCGAGCTCTGATTGGTCTGAAATTCGGTCCGGCAGTTCTTTGCCCCGTTGTGCAGGTGGTCACCAAGTTTCAGAACGATCCAACATCGGAGCATTGCGTGACAGCTGTCGAAAGTTACTGTTCCGTAGTCATGGTGCACTGTTGGCAGCATTTCCCTTGCCACCCTTTCATTGTTGTCATGCCAATGGTGCAGGGACAGAGAATGAGACAAGAAGTACAGGTGGTCAAGTGGGACTCTACCACCCTCCTTTTGAGAAGTGTGGTCTTCCTGGAAGCAGCTTGCAAGAGGGTGCAAGTGGGAAGACAAGCTGACTCATGGTTGGCTTCCTCACTATTGGTTGCCTTGAGTACAGCTCTGAACTTCCAAGTGTGGTTGGCTTTGCTGACCTAGCTAGGACGTTTCTCATCCTTCTCTAGCCTTTCTCCCCTAGGACTCAACCGATTCTAGGATGATCCCAACCCATTAAGAGTCCCCTAGGCAATGTTGTACTCACCTCTCCCTTGCATCAATGAAACTACACGTTTTCAGCCGAGCTTACGATTTCGTTCACTGCGTAGCGCACACACCTCTGATGAAAGCAAGCAATATACCGTTGGAAAGCAGACACCTAAGGCTAACTGCTGTCCAAGTTTCAGCCTCGTATGTTATCGGAGCTGATCGTGACGGCGTTTCGAACAGAGGCGGTTTGAAGTCGTCAGATTCTGCTTAGGCGGTTTCATGGGCATCCGCGACCACTAAGTGGACTCTAGACTATAACACCGTCCACCATCGGCAATATGAGGAAACTTGAGACCTTGTGAGTGTCATACAAGGATTAGGGATGAGGACCTACATGAGCTGGGAGGGCCTATACGGGCTGGTGCTGATCCAAACCACTCACACAGGGTCCAGCCTAGGTGTCAGCGTGTGATGGGTCGGTTTCAGACTGAATTCTGCCAGAGGTTTGAAGTAAGGAGGTAGACTGAATTTGTCCATTAATCCGCACTAAGCTGACTGGCAGATGAGCTGACTGGCAGATGAGCTGACTGGCAGATGAGCTGACTGGCAGATGAGATGACTGACAGATGAGCTGACTGGCAGATGAGATGACTGGCAGATGAGATGACTGGCAGATGAGCTGACTGGCAGATGAGATGACTGGCAGATGAGATGACTGGCAGATGAGCTGACTGGCAGATGAGCTGACTGGCAGATGAGATGACTGGCAGATGAGCTGACTGGCAGATGAGCTGACTGGCAGATGAGCTGACTGGCAGATGAGCTGACTGGCAGATGAGATGACTGGCAGATGAGCTGACTGGCAGATGAGATGACTGGCAGATGAGCTGACTGGCAGATGAGCTGACTGGCAGATGAGCTGACTGGCAGATGAGCTGACTGGCAGATGAGCTGACTGGCAGATGAGATGACTGGCAGATGAGATGTCTGGCATATGAGCGGACTGGCAGATGAGCTGACTGGCAGATGAGCTGACTGGCAGATGAGCTGACTGGCAGATGAGATGACCGGCAGATGAGCTGCCTGGCAGATGAGCTGACTGGCAGATGAGATGACTGGCAGATGAGCTGACCGCCAGATGAGCTGACTGTCAGATGAGCTGACTGGCAGATGAGATGACTGGCAGATGAGATGACTGGCAGATGAGCTGACTGGCAGATGAGCTGACTGGCAGATGAGCTGACTGGCAGATGAGCTGACTGGCAGATGAGCTGACTGGCAGATGAGCTGACTGGCAGATGAGCTGACTGGCAGATGAGCTGACTGGCAGATGAGATGACTGGCAGATGAGATGACTGGCAGATGAGCTGACTGGCAGATGAGCTGACTGGCAGATGAGCTGACTGGCAGATGAGATGACTGGCAGATGAGCTGACTGGCAGATGAGCTGACTGGCAGATGAGCTGACTGGCAGATGAGCTGACTGGCAGATGAGCTGACTGGCAGATGAGATGACTGGCAGATGAGCTGACCGGCAGATGAGCTGACTGGCAGATGAGCTGACTGGCAGATGAGCTGACTGGCAGATGAGATGACTGGCAGATGAGCTGACTGGCAGATGAGCTGACTGGCAGATGAGCTGACTGGCAGATGAGATGACTGGCAGATGAGCTGACTGGCAGATGAGATGACTGGCAGATGAGCTGACTGGCAGATGAGCTGACTGGCAGATGAGCTGACTGGCAGATGAGATGACTGGCAGATGAGCTGACAAGCAGATGAGCTGACTGGAAGATGAGCTGAATGGCAGAAGAGCTGACTGGCAGATGAGCTGACTGGCAGATGAGCTGACTGGCAGATGAGCTGACTGGCAGATGAGATGACTGGCAGATGAGCCGAATGGCAGATGAGCTGACTGGCAGATGAGCTGACTGGCAGATGAGATGACTGGCAGATGAGCTGACTGGCAGATGAGATGACTGGCAGATGAGATGACTGGCAGATGAGCTGACCGGCAGATGAGCTGACTGGCAGATGAGCTGACTGGCAGATGAGATGACTGGCAGATGAGCTGACTGGCAGATGAGCTGACTGGCAGATGAGCTGACTGGCAGATGAGCTGACTGGCAGATGAGCTGACTGGCAGATGAGCTGACTGGCAGATGAGATGACTGGCAGATGAGATGACTGGCAGATGAGCTGACTGGCAGATGAGCTGACTGGCAGATGAGCTGACTGGCAGATGAGCTGACTGGCAGATGAGATGACTGGCAGATGAGCTGACCGGCAGATGAGCTGACTGGCAGATGAGCTGACTGGCAGATGAGCTGACTGGCAGATG